ACATCCAGTTCGTTTAATACTAATATCAGCTTATCGACCAATAGATTATTATAAGCGTTATCAATATCCAGAAAACAACCAATAGTGGGAATGTTATGAGAAAATCCTATTTGTATTTGTAACACTACGCGTGCTAATGATTCCAAACATGATTGACCACGTCTAAATTCTGACGAACGTGAACGTGAAACGTGGTTAGATGTAACAACTTCACTGAATATTAGTGGGTATAATGCATTTCGAAAAGATAGGTCTGATTCGTACGGTGGAGTAGCAATTTTATGTCACAAAACAATTCAGGCTTATGTAAACCCAATTTACTTAACTAATCCTGAATAGAAATTTTATGGGTTAAAATATTGAATTGCAAAAATTTTGAAAATGTTCTATCAATATATTATCCTTCCTCTGTTCATACCAATTTAGCAGATTGGAACAGTTGCAGGTGATTTTAATGGCCATTATACGCATTGGTCCTATAAAAATGATACTAGAGGTATACAATTACAGAACTCCTCCCTAGAGACAGGCTTTACAACCCTTAATAATGGTAGACCTACTAGAATAAAACTTGTAAATAATAATCTACAAAATTCTTCCCCTGATATTACATTTGTATCATCTTATCTTGCTCTTGATTTTAACTGGCAGACTCTAAATGAAAACCTTGGTAGTGATCACATTATGATCAAAATGTCTATGAATTTTGAAAATATCACAAAATTTGAAAAAGTTCAGTTTCAAAAGTGTTAGTGATTACATTAATAAAAGCTTACGTAATAGTAACAAACTTATTTTACATAAATGCCGTTTAACTAAAGTTGTAATTTATTTTATGGCAATTGTGTAAGATTTTACAACAAATTACCAGTCTGTTCTAAATCTATAAGTCTCTATAAGTCTGCCTGAAAAAAAAAGATTACAATGTCCTATGAAACACTTCCTTTGAAAAAAAAAACTTAATAAAAAATTGAGTGTGTAACCGATAATAATGTTCTTGTATAGAAAAAAAAATATTGTCAGCGGTATGAATTTTATCTGATTGCACTAAGAATTATGTTGATTATCACAGGTGTTAACGTCAACGGCAACCGTTCGCCAAAGTGATTTGCCAAAGCAGATTTCTGTGATTACAACGCCATTTAGTTTGAGTGAAATAACACAATATTGTGATCCTGTCGTGATTGTGGGACAACGATCATTTCTCGGTGAGGCACAAAATCATGGGCTACACAGTGCTACAAACCTCAGTCTAAAAACCCCTACCCATACATCCTCGTCCCATACTAAATCCTTTTCTGTACTAGCTGTTCGTTTGTGGAACTCACTTCCATCCTCTATTCGTAGCGCGCCATCACTATCCGTTTTCAAGAACTCTGTTAAATGTCACTATCTCTCCAACTAAACTTTTCATATTCTGTCAACCTTCATTCACTCTGCTTTCTCCAAATTGCGTGTAACATAATTAGTTAGTACTTGACACTCTTGTGTATTGTGTATTTATATATAATATGTATGTATATATGTATATGTATGTATTAGCATATGTAAATTATTATTATTTAGAATTCCTATGCCTTTTTTTATATCTCTAGTCTATTCCTGCGCCATCTACCACTTTCTATCTTCTCTCCTCTACCCAAAGGTTGTCTGGAAAAGATTGCTTACGCGATAAGACCGCCTTTTGTGCCTTATTAGTTTTTTTTTATTTCTTTTTAAATTTAGGGACTTTTGTACGATCTAAGTACATTTCAGTCCCATTGTACTCTAAAACCAATCACTCCATTACCTCACCAGTGAACAAATTGCCTTAGCCGCACCGCCCGAAGGATCGGCTAAAACAGTTTGTATGGCACCAACATCTAATATATTTATTTCATGGTCTGACATTATTCCATGTCGTAGACTCTCGTTCTTGACACACTCCATCAGCAAATGATATACATCCTCTATTGTACCACATACTTCACAATTTTGTGAATTGCTTTTTTTCATCAGGTATGCAAACTTTGCCGATGGATAATGTCCAGAACGGAGTCTATGCATTTTTACAATGTAAGAACGTGTACCCTTCACATAATTGCACCAAGGCACCCGGGGAGGTTCTTTCTGTATTGTCTTGTACCAAATGGCCTTAGAATGAGATATACTATCGAAATGAGTTTTCCATTTCTCAAATACAATTCTTTTGAATTTATGCATAACTTCGGAATAATAAGGAGCTATCTCATTCCCTTTTATTCCTATGTGTGATGGAATCCACTAAAAATTCACTTGCACATTGTTCTGATTACACCAAAATATTTGTTCCAGACTTGTGTAAGCTGTCGTTACACCTCTGTGTCCAGAGGCGCAGCGAGCTAAATGACACAATACAATTTTACTGTCTGTTAAAACAACAAATTTTTGATATCTCTGTGCAATCGCATGTGACATTGCTTCCGAGATAGCAACTACGGACATTATGGTATAATACACCCTCGACTTAAATTTAAATGTTCCTACAATCTTTCTGGTCTGATCATAAAAAGCCGCTCCCTGTCCACTCACACATTTTGAGCCATCAGTATAAATCCGATACCGACCACTAAATTTTTTGCATGGTTCTATTATAATGTTACTCCTCATTAAATTTACATCCTGATCAGTTTTTTGAACCTTTCAGACATGACAAATCATAATTTATATTGATATTGATATAGGTTACCCAAACATTTAACCTGAACATTTCTAATGGGTAAAATGCTTGTACATTATCAGATTTTGAGTCGTTGTAAGTTGTTACAAGAAGCGGCTTTTGCTTCTTAGATATAATGGTGGAATGCAAAGTTCGCATTCCATTACATAAATAGGAGTAGATTTTATAAATCCTCCTATAATTCTCATGGCTTGATTTTGTATTTTATCAAGTTTGTATGTATGAGTTTTGGCGCAATTATCATAAATAAAATTTCCATAATCCAATCTGCTTCTTATTAGTGAAATATATAAAGTACGTAGATGTTTTGGGTGCATGCCCCAACCAGATCCAGCTAACATCCTTAAGACATTTAAATATTTATTACTTTTTCTGTAGTTTCATTAACATGCATTCTCCACAGTAATGATCTGTCCAACCAAAAACCCAAATATTTAATGCACTCTACAGATGACGAAGAAATATTGTTAATTTCTAGTTTATTTTGCTGTTTTCTATGTCCTCGACTAAATGTACAGAATTTTCTTTTCCGAATCGAAAGTTCTAAGCCAAGTACTTGTAATATATCATTGATCATGTTTAACGCCTGTTGAATATTGTATTGACAAGTATTCAGATCTTTATGATTGAAAAATATCACAAAATCATCGGCATATTGTGCTATTTCTACACTTTGTATCATTTTGAGACTCCAATATAGGTGCTACATTAACTACGGTATCTGGGCCTAAAGAACAAAGTAGGTTTTCACTCACATGAACAGGAGGGTATGGTTTATTTTGTGATCTTTCCTTTAACCAACGCATTTGTCGCCATATATCTCTTACTGATGTGGATTCGTTAACGTCCTGTTGAGATTTTTGAAATTGTTCATTCAATTCAATTGTAATTAATTCGACAACTGTAAATTGTCTATCGATAAAACGTATTTTGGCAAATAAAGTGAATTTAGTTTTAATTACGCCTCATTTTTTTACTAAATCGCGTATAACATTATCACGACTTTCAATATCTAACATAGCTTGCCCCTTTTTCGACATTTCGAGAATCTGTGCGAATGGAAATAACTAGGTAGGTACTTACGGTTCTAGAACCTACTATAACGTAACGGTCACAATATGAATTCGAACAAAAAACAGTGTTCGAATTCAGTTCGAGCACAATTATAGCATAAATATTAGCACTGTGAATGGGATTAGTAATAGAAATTGACTGGCCTGACCGTCGTATGCTGCACTGGTCTTGGGATGATGATTCGACTCGAAGGACCAATTTATGTTTGTGATGTTTGCTCTGGTCAGGTGTTACACAGGAATTTTAGGGGCTCTTCAGTGAATTTTATATTTTTTACAGATTATAAAAAATTAAATTATTGTGCATTCTTCTCAGAAGAATGAACCTCAGCCACACCATCTAACATAATCAACTAGATATTAGCGCGCCTGCGAGCGCTAATATCCAGTAACCGGTACCCCCGGTGGCTCTTCCGATTAATCCCCCGGTAAATTCAAACAGAAATCCAATATACGGTTTCAATGAGTCTGGTAGCATGAAGAACCAAGAAAACTGTCTGGCAATTTAGGAAACTCAGTTTAATAGTTCTCTCAATAATATATATAAATTTCAGCTTTATTAAAATAACAAGTTTATTTATAAAATAATATAGTTTAGGGGGGTCCGGCGGGGGGTTGGGACCATACTGTCTGGCAATGAGCAGAGCAAGTTATAATACTGTTACGAACAATATGTGAAAAAATGGAGTTTCTTAAAATAACGAATTCGACATGAACTTGTATACACCGTTGTTACCTAATATACGGTTTCAATGAATCTGGTAGGATGATAGAACCTACAAAACTGTCTGGCAATTTAAGAAACACAGTCTAATAGTTCTCTCAATAATATATATAAAGTTCAGCTTTATTAAAATAACGTAAGTTTATTTATAAAATAGTGTTTACGCCTTTTAGTGTGAAGAGGATCTTGATGGTGTAATTAAACTCGGAGATTCCAGGCTAGTTTTTTAATTAATTGAAAATATGTTTACAGTGGTTGCGTGTGATAATGCGTATAATGATCGTTACCGAATTTCGAATATGAATTCTAACGGTTGACATATTGTCTATGGCCCGCTGAAATACCGTCGTTCCAGGGTTGCTATAGTAAAATAATATATATTGGGCCAAATATAGTACAACCGCGCCTGAACATACCCCTGACCTTGGAAGCTGCAGCTTTCAATATGAAAGTATGCTTCATAATTGCCAGTAATCGTTGAGTAAGGGGCGTGTCTAGCTGCAGTTCAATAGCGTTCCTTCTTCCTTTGGTCATTACTTGATGTCCTGGTACACATTTCTTCGCCCAATGAGACCAGAAGTGTTGGCGAAACTAAATCTTCGACTCCTTCATAGCGCGTAAGTCGATGAACAGGTACCTCCGTGAAGTCAGGATTGACAGGCGCGGTAAGCGGACGGCCCACCAAGAAATGTCCAGGACTAATAGGAGTAAGGTCGTGCGGATCTAAGAATATAGGATTTAAAGGACAGGAAAACAAGGAGGTTCGATTGAAATAATACTGTGCTGAACATTTTCTAAAACGCGGTACAAAAAATATTACAGCATGGAATTCTAAACTTCTATAAACCACCAAAATGAGGCGCATATGGTAGAATAAAGTAAAATATAAATATAAAATAAAATTAATAACAAAATTATGGCTTATCTGAAAGGATTTCGCATAGTTTGGTACGCGTATAAATGAATGTTTTAAGACTACTAAATATGCATCCGCAGAAAAGTCACTAACGAGTTGTCAACGAGTGCAGCACGTACGTCACAAAACAAATAAATATGCATGTGTAGTCTACCCTAGAACGCATAAAGGGAAAGCATGAAGTTATACGATTAGTAGCTATGTCACCCATAAGCGGGGCAAGAGTTCTGCTTCCCAAACGTTTACAAACAATGCAAAGCCACCATGTTTCTCGTGAATTGAAAAGAAACGCCTGTGGGTCTGCGTATAGCAAGAGTTTATAACGAAATAGCAATATAGAAAAAATATGTATAGATGAAATTAAAATTGAACGCTTCTTATCCGAAATGAAGTGAGATGAATTTACAAGTCGACCACCAACGCGAGTTAAATAATTCTTGACCTTAAGTGAATTTAATTTGAAATAAATATGTTTATTATAAAAAATAAGATCACTCTCAAACAACATGTACTTATTTGAAAATGATTCCATTTGAGATAAATTAACTAGCGATATGTTTAATTCTCTCAACTTATCAACAATGAGAATATCCGACTGTCGATTTATTTTATGGTGTGTATTATGTATAAAGCATACTACATAAGCGATAGTATGTCTTATACGATTGAGCTGAGAAAACCACACAAATGAAGACAACGTATATTCGTAGTATCGAGTTGCAAAAAAATGAGTCACGCCAGACTTAAACTCGGCTGATTGCGGCGCCTCGGTAAAAATGTACAGTTGTATCTGTATAGCTTCGCTCGCTATAACAGAACGCGGTAAACGAGTGGTATTAAGCGCTGACAAACCATTCACAAATAAGATCGACGCGTGCAATACATCGCGCGGCACCTCATTTAACCGTAACACCCGCAACAAACAAGCAGTGTACCTATGTTGTCTCAAGCGGATTAGAATATTGACTTGCCTTAAATGACGATGCCTTACACGTTTTTCTAATGCCAAAATATGATGTTTGGCTTGCGAATATGATTGACCTAAGGCAGACGACTGTTTGAGCGGTAAGGGTACGGGAAACCTTCCGTCATCATTGCGCGTAGTGGTAACAACGAAATGCTCCACGCACGCCCGTTCGTTGTCAGTCTGTATGTCGGTAACCTTAGGCAATTCCTGTAACTGCGTGTTAATTGATTGTATAAAATTACATTGGATAGGTATTTTATTGTTGCGTATGTTAAGATCGATAGGACCCGAAACTATCCAACCTAACTTCGTATTTTGTAAAAAGGGTCCATTTGATAACCTCATTTTACCTTCGCATAGTAAGTCCCAAAATAAATCCGCGCCTATTAATATGTCAATATTTTGGGACTCATAATAATATGGATCCGCCAGCTGTATATTATCAGGTGTCCTTATAGACTGCGCGCCTTGATTATAAACAGTGGCGGGTAATGTCGAAGTAATGCAAGACAACACAAAACATTTTATACATGCTGAGTATTTATTAATGCGTGATTTTAGCTCAACTTCGCATATCTGTGTTGACTTTGTAATTGTGTTTCCGACACCTCGAATTTCGCAAGTGGACTGTATTAAATTAATGTAAATTAAATCGCATAATGCTTTTGATATAAAACAATACTGGCTACCGCAGTCGAGAAGCGCGCGTGCTATATGAATATTATTATATTTATCAACTATCTCGACCATTGCAGTAGACAGTAAAACCGGTTGCATGCACATAGATTGATTGTTGTGTTCATTACTATTGCCTATGTGTGCACTGTTTACCTGTGAGTAACTCATTTGCCTGGGGATGGAATCCGCGGGCGGTGGAATGGTTGCGGGGGACGCGTGCGCAGCGCCCGGGTTCGAGACAGCGATGTTGACTGAATGCATTGATATAACTTGCGTATGGTCAGTTGCATCGTTATGAATTAGCGTGTTATGTTTTTTAGTGCATTTTCGACACGGCCCGAACCTACATACATCTACCGAATGCCCTAAACGTAGACAGTTCTCACAGAGTTTATTATCGCTTATAAATTGCAGTTTAGTATCTAAGTCAGTGTCTAAAAACCGTTGACATGAATACAAGGGATGATCGGCGTTACACATGAGACAGAATTTTTTAGTGAAAGTGATTTGATGTTGTGGCTTATTGGTGGAAACATTGCAGTGAATTTTGTGTTGTGACGTTTTATGTGTCACATTGTGTGACATATTATGCGACACAGCGCTTTGTTTATTAGAGTTAATGTTAGAATTGTGTGATACTTGCAATGTTTCCAACATGTCGGCCCTATCCCTTATGAACATAAGAAGATCATCTACCTTCAGTGGTGATTTATTGTCAGAAATATGCTTTCGCGTTGTGCATTTATATTGTTCCCACTCGCGTTCTGTGGTTTCATCTAACTTAGACGTAATAATAAAAATAATTAACGTATCCCAGTACTCAGTTGGCTCACCTAATATTTTTAAAGCGCGTAAATTTCTTAAAATATTATCGGAGAGGGTTCTTAGCGAATGTGGTGACTCTTTTGTGAGTTTTGATATTGTAAATAACGCCTTAACATGATTATGAACTAACAGACTGCTATTGTTGTATCTGTTGAGAAGCAGTTCCCATGCCACCGCGTAATTACTGGCTGAGAATTCCACGGAATCGAACATCGAACAACAATCGAATAACTCCGCGCTTCCCTTCAATGACGATTTTAGGTAGTGGAATTTCTGGATATCACTAAGTTCATCAGAATTATGAACCAAAGACAGGAAGCTGTCCCTGTACTCAATCCACGAGTCATACATGCCGTTGTATGTGGGTAGTGAAATAACCGGAAGGGATATTCATTTCAAGACGAAGGTTTACGACCAATGTGTGTTGCCAGTGATGACTTATGGAACAGAGACGTGGTCGCTAACTATGGGCCCCATCAACAAGCTCAGAGTCACTCAGAGGGCAATGGAGAGGGCTATGCTCGGAGTTTCTCTGCGTGATCGAATCAGAAATGAGGAGATCCGTAGAAGAACCAGAGTGACCGACATAGCCCGAAGAATTGCGACTTTGAAGTGGCAATGGGCAGGGCACATAGCTCGTAGGACAGATGGCCGTTGGGGCAGTAAAGTCCTCGAGTGGCGACCACGGACCGGAAGACGCAGCGTGGGAAGGCCTCCAGCAAGGTGGACCGACGATCTGGTCAAGATCGCGGGAAGGCATTGGATGCGAGCAGCGCAGGACCGATCGTCGTGGAGATCTTTGGGGAAGCCTATGTCCAGCAGTGGACGTCTTCCGGGCTGTGATGATGATGATGATGATGATGATGATATTGATTTAGAGACCCTAGTGCTACACTTATTTGAACTGGCAGTGACCTCCACAGACTTAAGCATATATTCCGCGCCTGATAGTGCGTTGTAATAGCAATCCTCAAACAATTCTCTTTGTGTTAACTGCGCATCTAAATCGCAATCGCGGACCGTTTTTTCGATTTTAGTTTGAACATCGCTAAACTCTGCATACAAATTAGTAATTCCTTGTATGCGTAATCGTAGGTCGATACATTTTTGATTATTTAATTGTTCCTTAGTGATATCATGAACGGAATTTGAGAATCTAGTAACCCTGCTTTTTATAATGCCACGCATTTTAATTAAATCACTAAGATAGTCATTGTCGCTTTCTTTATTAGCTACTAGCCTATTAGGGGATCTCTCACGACTAATTTTGCCTGTACTAATAGCCTCGTCTACGCCCATTTTGGTGATTTATAAAAGTACTCACGATCGATTCTTGGATTGTGAAGTCAGCAGCACTAGCTGAGGCACAAGCTGGCTTCGATGCCAAACACAAGCACTGTAACGTAAATAAATGCACAGTATTACACAATGAAGTGATAGGGATGGGGTTAGGGAGGATGGTACCAGACCGTACCGTAATGCGCGTAATCGTGATGTAGGTGGTCATCTGCTGCTACTCCTCCGTCGTCTTAACCTCGATCCTGTTGTAGGTAGTTCCTCTTCGCACGTCTCGTAGTCCAAATTCCTTGCGATGAATCGGGTTAGGAAGAATCCGTTGGTCGCTGTTTCGTATTTTGCGTATATTATGCGGCGTCGAAGGTCCACAACGTATGTTTACGCCTTTTAGTGTGAAGAGGATCTTGATGGTGTAATTAAACTCGGAGATTCCAGGCTAGTTTTTTAATTAATTGAAAATAGGTTTACAGTGGTTGCGTGTGATAATGCGTATAATGATCGTTAGCGAATTTAGAATATGAATATATAACGGTTGATATATTGTCTATGGCCCGCTGAAATACCGTCGTTCCAGGGTTGCTATAGTAAAATAATATATTGGGCCAAATATAGTACAACCGCGCCTGAACAAATAGCATAGTTTAGGGGGGTCCGGCGGGGGGTTGGAATCACACTAAGGATCTAGCAATGAGCAAAGCAAGTTATAATACTGTTACGAGCAATATGTGAAAAAATGGAGCATCTTAAAATAACGAATTTGATATGAAATTGTATACACCGTTGTTACCCAATATACGGTTTCATGTTTGGGGATCGTTCTTACCTGTGTTGGGGACACACATACAAGAACTTTTAAGTTTACTAATATGACGTATGTCTGGCTGTCGTGGGCTCTTGCTCTATCGCCCTCTACTATTCGTTGAATCTATAAAGGCGGCATAGAATAGTTGAAAAAAAAACGACTACCGGCATTCACTGTCAGGACAGCGAGTTTCTTATTAAGTGCGAAACAACAAGCAAATATGAAGCATTTCATTTAACACTGTCATTTAGTACCTTGGCTTAGAGCGTTGTAATTTCGATCCCCATTTGAACTCGATGGGAGATTGATCGAAAGAGCGAATGACGATGCTGGAGCTAAAATGTGTTTAGCAAATGAAAACGGTTCATTTGTTCTTAAAACCGACTCTCAGTATTGTTAAGTCACATAGTTTTCGAATTACGATGTCAAATAGAAAAATTATTGTTCCATCTTCTCCACTTATCTCCGAATTTTCTGCAGTGGAAATTCGGAAAAATGTTGTTCTTTTTTTCTACAGTATTGTACTACTATAGTATTAAAACGTCAAATAACCAAAATATTATTCTGGAAAAGTCTTAATGCAAATTCTGCTAAATATGGACGCCAATTGTAAATCGATTTTGATTATTAATTTTTTAATAGAAAATTCAATTAATTTAATTGTTATACTATACTGCATTGTGTAACAATTCATTTGGTCATCCGAACATCATTTAGAATCTACATAAGATTTTATAATTTATGTATTTATATCAGTTGTTTAGTACCCCTAACACAAATGCTGTCCTGAGATATTAAAAAAAACAGGCTACCGTAAAACAGATCCGATCAACAAGTACAATATAAATTAAGTTGCACAATAAAATGACACGATCAAACAAACAATTGCTCACTTTATATAGACGGAACTTTGTGTGCGTTGAGGATGCAATAAATAATTTAGTATTGAATATTTGTTGGAATACAACCCGCCGCCTGGCTAAAGTTACACACTTTACTAATAAATTTGATGCAGTTACTGATTATAATGCTACGGTGCACACAATTCCAAGTAACATCGTTAAAAATTGTCACTATATCACTTTGAAAAGTTGGACTTAAGTGTACAATTGAAATGTATATTCGATCGACTTTTAATAATGGTTTACCTGTATCTGTAAACTAACGTCGTAACGAAGAAACTTTGGAAGTTTTTTGTAATATAGTACATTACAGTACTTGAATGGTACATACATAAGTACATTAAAAAATACTTGCACTTCACCGGATATAGGATATAGCAGATAAGATACATTTAAGTAAATAGTATACAATGTAAGTAATTTTGAATTGGCTTTTTGACAGTTGTAGCAATAAAATATGAAATATATTTTTTATGGTAGCTTCTAAGTAAACAATAATCATACAGTATATTTTTTGCATTAAAAAACATTATTAATATTTTATTTTTGAAAAAATAATCCGAGTTTTTTTATCTGTGGTTCACAAGGAGCGGCCATGATTGCTCATCGTATGACGTCATCACTACATAGTATAAAACAAAGTCGCTGTCGCTGTCTGTCTGTCCCTATGTATGCTTAAAACTTTAAATCGGGATTTTTTTTAATAGATAGAGTAATTCAAGCGGAAAGTTTATATGTCCATTCATCACCTGGATGAATGGCGGTCCTCTACAGTGCGGTTTTCTAGAATCTTTTTGCCACGCACAATGACATTGTTGAATCACCTTCCAGCAATGGTATTTCCGAACCAATACGATATTGAAACCTTCAAGAAATGAGCTTATTCCTTTTTAAAAGGCCGACAACGTACTTGCAATTCCCCTGGTGTTGCGGGTGCTGGGCGACGGTAATCACTTACCATCAGGTAAACCGCATGCTCGTTTGTCCCCTGTGTTATAAAAAAAAATGTATAATACATACATAATATTGTAGAAAAACACTGATAAATTTAGAGGTTTCTAATGTGATGTCTTAAATAAAATCATTTTTTACATTTACATTGCAAACGCTGGCTGAACACCACAAGACATATCAAAATAATGTACTACAGTATTGTACACCTTAAAAAGGTCAACAAAAAAATCCCCGATGGCATATGTCTATTTCTAAAAGATAACCCACAATAACCATTTTTTATCCTTTACATTTTATGGAAAACTATAGCTTATTTACGAAGTGATTTTAAGCAATACACAGCACTAATTTTTATCCAATTAAGTACTTTAAATACATTGTCCACTTAATATATAATGGATCAATACGGCCCTTTATATCATGTAATTTAAATGAATATTTTCGAAGATATTTGACTTTTGATTTGACAGACTTGCTGTACCCGCGACTTCGTCAGCATAAAATAGTGACCTTAACCAAATCGTGAAAAAATATTTAATGACTTAATCCAATAAAAGCCAAATGAAAAAGTTTCATCGTTTTAGCTTCAAAAGTGACGATTCCGAATTCTATACAGTACAATCAACGGCCTAAAAATAAGTTTCAAACATCTACCTTTGAAAATGACGACACCTCTATACAATTCTTCATATCTCTATCAACCCCTTATAACCCTTTTTCTTCATACATATTTTATAGATGGGCTAAAAATTAAACTATAGCTAGAGGCTTAACCTCTAGCTTTAAAATTATTTAAATATTTCCATATAAATATTTAACTCTCCTTAAAATCCCTTAAAACCCATTTAATCAACAGCCTAAAAAATCAGTTTCAGGTTCACCTTTGAAAATGGCGATATATCCATACAACGTTGCATCTACCCTATCAATCCCCTTACAACCCTTTTTCACTTTAAAAAGTAACCTATATCCATTCGCAGGGTCTAGATTATGTATTCGAAATTTCATTTAAATCGGTTCAGTATTTTTGACGTGTAAGTGAGATAGACAGTTATAATATTAGTAGGGTATTTAATAAACTAACCCAAAAAAACCAATGAAAAAAGTTTCATTATGTAGCTTAAGAAATTATGAATTCACATAAAAACTCTGATTCCCTATTTAATTGTACCACCCTAAGGGTAAAATTTTTACAAACTTTGAATATCTTTTTATTAATATTTAATCAACAGCTTCAAAAATAAGTTCCAAGCTTCTAGCTTAAAAATGACTATTCTTACATACAACCTTACATGTACCCTTTCAACCTCCTTACAAAAGTAGCCTATGTCCTTTCTCAGAATCTAGACTAACTGTGTACCAAATTTCATGTTAATGGGTTCAGTAGTTTTGGCGTG